CGTTGTGCAATGGAAAAAGCACTGTGGAGTCAGACAGGCTTCCACCCACTGAAGGACCTGACTAAGTTGGCTGACCTTGGGTGAGTCAGTGTATTTCCTTAAATCTCAGGTTCACAACTGTAAATAGGGCTAATTACCTACTTCACAGGGTTGTTACAAAGAATAAATGAGAAAGCCAAAGCATGGTGGCACACAGTATGTACTATTTTTTTTTTCCTTCCCATATTCCTAGAACCTTTGAATTGACGTTGTTTATGCCACTGTCCCCTGCTCTTTCTAGATGGGGTTCTTCACTGAGATATTGCCAGGGATTTATAAATCCCTTGGGAAAGTGTGGGGAAAAGATTTTATATGTGCATATGAGCAGTTTTCTTGAGAGTGAGTGGGTTCATAGCTTTCATCAGATTCTCAAAGAAGTCTATGATCATGCCTCCCTCCCACTCTTACTACCATGTAACGGAATTAAGAACCTCTGCCCCAGAGTAAGTATTATATAACCATGAATGGTATCTCAGTAGTCTGGCCAAATTAAGTATGCGTCATAGAGGTAGTAGGAAAAAAAGACCAAAACAGATTTCAACCATTTGATTGTTTGCTGCTGTCTTGATGTTACATAAAATCTTGCAGCTTTATTCTCAAATATAATTGTTTTTGTTTTTAAAACAGATGTTTGTTCTTTAAGAAAATATCTATAAAATATTAAAAACTTAGGGTTTATGTAAAATGAGATGATTTGTATTACAGAAGGACTCTTTCCATAGAGTGGGACTTAAGTTTTTTGTTATGAAGGAAGAAAACGATACAGTGGGGACCCTATGGTAATGTGCTTTACTAATGCATCACATATTTGAGTTAAAATAATTTGGTTTATAAGGAAACTTTTAGGAACACATCTTTTATGTAAATTGAGTTATACGAGTCACATTGTGGATATGTTTATCTACGGTAACAACATTTGCAAGTCCGCTGTGGGCAGCACTATGGTTCCTCCTGTCCCCTCTATTAGAGAAGTGTTAGCTCACATCTCAGTCTGGGAGGTACCATAGCATAGTGGTTATGAGTCATGTCTGGAGCCAGACTGCCTTCATTTCAAATCCTACTCTGTCACTTGCTGTGTGACCTTGGACAATATACTTACCATTCCTTTGTCTCTGTTTCCACATCTGTAATATTTGGATAATAATTATATCTAATCACAGAGTGTTACGAGAAGTGAATTAATATGGAAAAGCTTTTAGAACACTGCCCATTTCATTATAAGCACTGTGAAAATGTTAAATAAATAAAAATATGTACTCTAGTTAACAGAAGACTTATACTCATGAAAAGTTAACTTAAAATACAAGGTGGTATATGCTGTATATTACAAGATTAAGTTCCCTAAAGTTCTTCTGCATAGAGAAATTCACTGTGGGTTGTCTGGGTCATATGAGAAAGCTTAAAAATTCAAGGAAGAAGGGTGTAGGTCATGAACTGGTCTTGATAGGTGAGATCCAGATAGAGAAAGAATAGACCCAAATTAGAGAGGAATTTTATCAACAAACAGAATTGGAGGGAATGTATAATATAGACTATATAAGTTTCTGAGTAAGTAGAGAAATACTGGAAGCTTTCTTGGGAAGATAGATGTGGACAAAGGGTGGAGGTCCTTGGATACAAAGATAGGCTTTGAGACTTTTATTTGTAGATTAGGGCTCCCTGACTTTTATAAAGGAGAAGCTTATGAATGATTTTTTAAAAAGTGCATAGCACAGTACTTGGTGGAAGGTAAGCATTCAATAACTGTTAGCTAGTGTTAGCAATAGTAGTGGAAATGACTGCGTAGTGTCTCACTGTATGGATGGACTATATTTGTATATTTTTAAAAAATAGCCTATTGATGGACACTTAGGTTATTGTCTTTTTCTTCTTCTTTCCTTTTTTCTTTTTTTTTTTTTTAATAATCGTCGCTGTAATGAGCACTCTTTCCATAAAATTGTTTTTATACATCCGTAGTTCCTTAGGAGAGACTTAACACTATCTCTGAACTTACGGGAGAGTGATGGTAAGTTTCAGAGGGACTAGTAGAAAGAAAATGATGGAGCTTTACCAGCTATAATTCACTCCCCTCTGCTGAGAAATCCCCACAAAACTCATGACAAAAAGGCTATTATGGTATTAGCTGCCAGCAGGGATGTAGTTCAAGCATACTTATTAAAAATGATAACTTATTAGAGAGCTCAGCTATGGATATGATAATGTTTTTTTTATTTGTTTTTAATCATGGAGGCTTTGGGAAGATAATTTAGCATGTAGACCAGAGAACCAGAGTGTGAGGTGAGACCAAAGGTATTTATATTATGACATAATACGAGACTGGTAGTCATAGAACTCCAGAGGAAATATAAAAGCAAGGCTTGGTAGGTTTTTTTAGAATATGGGATGACAGGGGAGGAAGAATATTCAGTGATGATATTCCTAAGATTCTAAACCTCAGTGACTTGGAGAATATGATCAAAATACTAATGTTGGAATGGAAAGCTGATTTTGGAGGGAAGATCAGTTTAAATATGTTTGAAAGAAGAGAGGGAGGCATTTAAGTTTACTTACCTATTAAATATTAGGATAGGAGTCAGGTTTTGAGTTTCTTTATATAACATTGATATTGAAACAGAACAAATAGTTGAATTCAAATAAGTTATACAGCTAATAAGTGGCAAAGCTAAGATTCAAATCCAAAGTTTTGCTTCAAAGTTTATATTCTTCGCCCTTATGCTATGAGTGGGAAATAGTCCTTTATTCATATTTATTGTCGTAACATGTATTTGGTCTTCTCATATTCCAAGTTATTTCTTTGTCATTGAATTTATTTCATACCCTTTTCTATATAACCTGTGTTTTGTTTTTTTAAAAAAATAAATGTATTTATTCTATTTATTTACTTATTTTTTGGCTGCGTTGGGTCTTCATTGCACGCGGGCTTTCTCTAGTTGCCGTGAGGGGGGGCTACTCTTCGTTGCGGTGCATGGGCTTCTCATTGGGTGGCTTCTCTTGTTGGGGAGCACATGCTTTAGGCACGCGGGCTTCAGTAGTTGTGGCACGTGGGCTTCAGTAGTTGTGGCTCACGGGCTCTAGAGCGCAGGCTCAGTAGCTGTAGTGCACGGGCTTAGTTGCTTCGCGGCATGTGGGATTTTCCTGGACCAGGGCTCGAACCCGTGTCCCCTGCATTAGCAGGCGGATTCTTAACCACTGCGCCACCAGGGAAGGCCCCTAACCTGTGTTTTATTTAATAAAATATCTTGAGTGTAGCTTGGGCTTTGAAGGCAGACATTGCTGGATTTGATCTCAGCTCTGCCATTTGTGTCTCTGTAGATTCCTTAGTTAATCACTAAATCTGGTGGCCTTTTCTTAGTTTTAATTTTCGTTGGTATACATACAGCATAAAGTCCTTCCTGAAATCTAGGTTCCTTCTCCTTCAGTAATAATTCACCATCCTAGCCTTTTATCTGTTTTACTTTCCATCTCTGCACTTTCTTCTATATATATACACTTAAATGTGACTGTCTTTGCATAGCTTTGAAGTTGGCTCTTTGTTCCTTTTTTAAACAGGTCAACTGACTCTGTTTTCTGATTATATTCCCTCTTCAATTACTTGATTCATTTTTCTCTTTTCTATCCTCATGCACTTAGTTCAGGCCCCTTATGTTTTTCTTTCCAACTTTAAAATAGACTCCTGTCTTCCAGGTCTAGTCCTGTTCTTTCTTCCTATCGTATTCATTCTCTTAAAATATAGATCTTATATGTCCTCACTGCTTAGAAACCCTTCATTGATTATCCATTGTCAACAGTATTATTTCCTAACACTCCTTTGGATGAGTTAGGTGTTTTTTTAGGGAAAAAGAAGTCAAATGAGTTTGGGAAATGCTTGTATAAATGCAGTTAGTCAGCCTTCCTTTTGGCAGAATTTTAGTGTGCTAATAGGTACTGTGAATGCACAAAGGGGATATAGAGCAATATACAGCAGTCCCCAAATATACCTGACTGTAGTATACATTAAAAAACAAAAAACTTGTCTAGTGTCTTGGAACACGTTTTATTGAGACCCACAAGGTAAAGTCCATAGGCTTAGATATGGAGTCAGGACTTTTTTTTCGATTAATTCAACCTTTGCCTATCTTTGTAGTCTCATCTCTAGCGTCCACCAGACCAACTTGGAGTTTCCCATAGGATGGGGAGTTATGTGTTTCAGGCTTCGGTGGCTTCACCCATCTGTCAGGAAAAACCCCCACTACTCCTAAAGGGGAGATCATTACCTTCTTTCTCCTACTACTTCTCCTAAAGGGGAGATCATTACCTTCTTTCTGAAGCCTTCTGTGACTTATCCAAGCAGGCTTTACACTTCCTTCCTCAGCATTTTCCTATAGTATACTTGGCAAGACCGTCCATTTTAACGATTATCACATGGTATTTTAATTCTCTTTATATTTTAGTTTCTGCAGTGGACTATAAGCTCCTTGAAAGCTGGAACCATTTCCTTTCATTTCTGTGACATTAGTACCTAGGGCAATTATTAGATATAGTTTAAATAATTGAATTATAAAATAATTGCAGGAAAATTTCCAATAATAATGGTATTCATACAGTTAACTATCAGTAAACATTTCTTTTATCTCATCTTAGAAGTCTCTTAGACGCTTTCTATAATGAGTAGGTAGGTGGCATCAAATTAAATGCGAAGAAAATGCTGTAATGAGGAAAAACTAAGAAAACATATTTACCCATTTTTTTGTACTTTTCGTAACTTGTATTCATAAAACAAAATATCTTTTTCTTAGATTAGAGTAAAAATAATGTTCTGTCTTCAGTGGAAATAATGTTTAATCATTAATAAAAACTCAGCGATTACTTTTTCTCCCAGATAACTTATTTCATATTGATATGATTCATTCATCTGTAGCTTTGGAAATAAAAAATGTTATTTTATGTGAAACATTGTTTAATGTATATCTCTCTTTTCTTAGGCATCATTCTTAACAAAGAAGTTAAATATTGGTGGGAAAAGAGTAAATCTTGCTATATGGGTAAGTTAACCTTTTCAACTGTATGAGTGAAGGCCTAGAGTACCTATTCCTGGTTCTCTCATAACTAATTGGCTCAAAATTTTCTGGATTTATTTTAGTTAACTGAAGTTTAGCCAAAAACTTTTTTTTTTTTTTTTTTTTGCGGTACGCGGGCCTCTCACTGTTGGGGCCTCTCCCGTTGCGGAGCACAGGCTCCGGATGCGCAGGCTCAGCGGCCATGGCTCACGGGCCCAGCCGCTCCACGGCATGTGGGATCTTCCCGGACTGGGGCACAAACCCACATCCCCTGCATCGGCAGGCGGACTCTCAACCACTGCGCCACCAGGGAAGCCCCAAAACCTTTTTTAAATAAACATTTTTTTTCTAAAATCTGGCTAAGAATTTTATCTTGCATACAATTGTATACATGAATAGTTCTATCATAACATTTTAGCTGGAGAAGGGTCAACTCAGAGGGATTCCATGTCAGAGAAAGGGGTGGACAGCCTGCCTGGCCTTTTTTCCCCCATCTTCATATTCTAATCCTCCAAGGGAATGGCCAGTGGAGAGTAGGGCAAGGATAATGCAGTAGTGTACCTGTTGGCAGGTGGTCCTGGTGCATGCTCTTTCTCCTTGTCTCCTCTCTCTGGGGAGAACCTAAATTTAGTGCAAGGCCTGTTCCTGGCTTATAATGCCATTGTGGCCCATTCTGACCCTTTGGCAACTGAAATGGTTTTTTAGTGAGGGTGGGAAGATTGCTGAGGAAGAGGAAGGTTGGGGAGGGGAGAAGTAATCTTTATATAACAGTAAAACATTAAATATTGATTATAACTTGACTTAAAAATTTTATTTGTAACCTGTTTTGTTTCTTTTAACAGTGTTTTGGGGTTATCTATAAATTTATACCCCACTTTCCAATTAAACAAAAGTTCACTGTAGTTACAGTAACAGATGTATTTTTTCTTCTGATCTAATAAGAGTTTATTGCTTTATTTAGGATACAGCAGGTCAAGAGAGATTCCATGCATTGGGTCCAATTTACTACAGAGATTCAAATGGAGCTATTTTAGTTTATGATATAACAGATGAAGATTCGTTTCAGAAGGTATTCTGTTTACTTATGGGTAGATGACTTAATAGAACAACACTGATTTTTTCAAGTCTGCATTAACATCTTTTGTTTACTAATGTGATTAGCCTTGGCTTTAAAGGTAAAGTACAGTTTGTGCATAAATGATGACCACTCATTTTTTTTAATGGAGTATTTAATTCATGTTAACAATATGGATATCATTTATTAATAGTTTATTACATGGCTTTCTCAGATATTAGGAAAGGGAAATAATCTGAAGTAAAGCTTCAGAAAAATATAGAGGCTTTTTTTCTCCCTATTAAAGAAAAATCACATACATTTTTTTGGTTCCATACACACTGGCCACCTGATAACTTGGTATGGATGCATGGGCAGGTTCCATAATTGTGGGGAGGAAAACGAAGAACTAAATCAAGTTTAAGCTTTTTCTTCTCACTAAATTTCCTGGAGGATATAATATAAATTTTAAAAGGACAATCTAGGTAGTGTTCATTTTAAAGCTCCTCCATTTTTTTTAACCCCTCTTTAAACATTCACCAAAAATAAAGAATTTTTATAGTTGTTTGGGACCAAAAATGAGTGACCATTAAACTTACCTCTGAATTCTCATCACAATTAGGATTGTGACTAGTTACTTATTTGACCTTTTCTTTGAAAGCCCTTCTTGGAATAACTTTGTCAAGGATGTTTAACTAAAGGGGGTAATTTCCAAGGTAGAGACTTTTCTTGCCTTGAGTTACAGGTTTGTACTTGTTGAAATTACTTGCCTTTTTAGTTTTTTATTTTTATTTTATTTCCTAGTATTTAACTGATGAAGCAGATGTACAAGTTAGCCCTTGGATTATTAATGCCATGTGGAAAAACTTAGTCCAAGGAGTAGAAAAATGAAGCAATAGGTAGCTTTCAGATTTAATGACATTTAAAAAAGATATATATGTGGGGTGCTGTTTGTTATCCCTCCCTGCCTTTTTGGCATAAAAAGAAATGATTTAAGTATTTTATTGCTTAAAAGAAGGTGGAGTCTATTAGGTTGAAAAGTAACTAGTTGTCTCTGGCTGTATAACAAAACCCCCAAAATTTGGTGACTTAAAACAATGAAATATTATTTCTCGTGGTGTTTTAAGGGTTGACTGGGCAAGTCCTCTGCTCCATGTGGTGTCAGTGGAGTCAGTCATGCAGCTGCATTGAACTGGGGGTTTGGCTGGGTGGGAACCTGGATCCAAGAGGGCCTGGTTTTCCTCCACATGGCCTCTCACTCCATTTGGTGTCTCATTCTCCAGTACTCTCTCCACATGCTCTCATTATTCCATATTCCAGCCAAAGCTTCTTATGTGACAGCTGGATCCCAAGAGTGTAGCTGCCTGACCTTCCTAAGGCTTTAGTCTGGAATTGGCATGGCATTAGTTCTGCCACATTCTCTTGGTCAAAGCAAGTTACAAGGCTAGCCCAGAGTCAAAGAGAGAGGAAATACTCTTGGCAAAGAATTGGTGACCATCTTTAACTCATTACAGAGTGTATGGGGGTAATGAATAGGATGCCTGTGGAGGGGGATCTGATTGCAGATGAATAACAAATTTTTAAAAAATTGGTTAGATTTAGTAGGTCTTGATACTATATGTACAGGGAGTAGGGTAATAACATAATTGGATTCTGGCATGTTTCCTTTGAAGTGATGAGGATGTACATTTTATACCAGTACTGTCAGATTTTTCTTATATGAAATCAACTAAGGGTGGAAGTTAAATGCTTCTCTGAACATGTTATACATATATGTGAGTGAAACAAAAAGATGGGACTGTACTAAGAAAAGTGTAGTTCAGTGCTATTATAAATTGTTGATTACCTTTGTTTTTATACAGATTTTGTGTTTACTACAGTTCCTTTGCATTCTTGCAGAGAATAGGCGTGTGAAACTGTTACTTTGTGCATAGGAACATATGCACAGTAAATGCTTATCACACATATCTAATGTAATTTTTGTTATTTGTAGATGTGTGTGTATTTTTTTAGGAAGGTATATAAGTTCTGTGTCATTTGATTACATACGTACTAAATTCCATTACACAAAAATGAAAGTAGGTATCCCAAGTTGGTTCTTTATCCTGTTTTATGGTAATCAATATATTTAAAATCATGAGTTCAAAAGATTGCTTAATTTCAGGGACTTGCCTGGTGGTCCAGTGGTTAAGAATCCACCTTTTAATGCAGGGGACGTGGGTTCAGTCCCTGGTCAGGGAACTAAGATCCCACATGCCGCGGGGCAGCTAAGCCCGAGCGCTGTAACTACTGAGCCCGCACACTCTTTAACCCACGCACCACAACTAGACAGCCCACGCACTGCAACAAAGAGCCTGTGTGCCACAACTGAGACCCGACACAGCAAAAGAGAGAGAGAGGGAAAGAAAGAAAGGAAGGAAGGAAGCCCAGCATTAAAAAAAAAAAAAAAAAAACCTAATTTCAGTTTACTCCCCACGGTGCTTGCTGCTCTGCTCCATCCGTAGTGAAGAATCAGTTTGCCACTGGAGTCATTGTGCACCAGGGGCTCTCCACCAGGGGGCAGCAATGTCTAGAGACATCTTTGATTGTCCCACCTGGAGGATGGAACTGGTATCTAGTGGGTAGGAAGCCAGGGATACTGCTAAGCATCATACATTGCACAGGACAGTCCCTCACAACAAAGAACTATCTGAGCCAAAATATCAGTAGCGCTGAACTTGAAGAAACCTATCCTACGCCAAAGGATGAAATTTTATTTTACTCTTTTTGGTACCTATATACATTTTGTTTTCCTTTAAATGTGTGACACAGAAGCTCCTATGCCCTCTATTTGTGACCCAGTTGGGTTACAAAAGATTTTTAATTAAGCCCATGTTTTCTTAAGTCCAAAGTGATTCTCTATAAGCATCTATTATCAGAGGCTGGAATTGACATGCTTTTGCTTTGGTGAACAGCTTTGCTTGGATTTATGGGCAGTTATGAAAGTCTGTAATTAGAGATGCTTGTGTTTATTCTTATGTGTAGATATAGAGAGAAATCTTTCCATTGGATGTTTGTCTGTGTGTGTGGTTTGCGATATAAATGATCCTACAGTGAATCATTCCTAGTAACAACTAAACACATGGACTGTTTGACAAAATTTTGAGGTATTTTGACAGTGTTGAGTTTTGGAGTGTTGTAATGGTAGTCATTGTTACAGGATTTGTTTTAATATTTACTCTTTTGTGTACACAGGTTAAAAACTGGGTCAAAGAATTACGGAAAATGTTGGGAAATGAAATCTGTTTATGTATAGTTGGTAAGCATCATTACTTTTTAAAAATGTCCTTTGTTTCCTTAACACTTTATTAAAGAATAGTAAATCAGTAATTTTCATTTTAAAGTTACATGAAAAAAGAAGAGTGGTATTTTAGTATTTAATATTTTAGTATAATTTGGGATTTGGAAGTGATCTTTCAGGAGGTTCAGACATCTGTACTTCAAGGAATGCCTTTGGGGAGCAAGTGGGAAGCCCTAAACATGTAGGGCATCAAGTCCCCCAGCCTTGCTTCAACTTGACCCTTGGTTTTTCATCATAAGATTATTTTAGAAAAGAAGAGTTCAGCAACTACTTTACAATATAATTAAAATCAATGACTTAAGCTGTGTTCTTGTTCTGTATATTTAACTATACCCATTTTTGAGTTAAGAACAAATGTGACTCCAAAGATATAAGTAGATCATGATATACTAGACTGGAAAAATATCTTAAGAGGTAAAGTAAAACAACTCTAGAATTCACTCTTGGACTTCTGGCATTTCTCTTTGGTTTCCTTTTTCTTTAGAGTATTATTTCTATGATATAACAGCTAATTATTGGTCAATAAAGTGTTCCAGACACTATGCTGTGTACTCAGTGGACATTATCTCATGTAATCTTCACAACCCTATGAGGGTTTTGTAGAGGAAGCTGAGCCCTGGAGATACGTACTTAATAACTTGCTTAATATCATGCAACTATCAGAGATGGGATTCAAATTGAGTCATTCAGACTCCTCTGCTTATGATATTAATCCTTATGAATAGCCTCAGGTTGTTTTCTCTCTTCCTTTTTATGTAACTGATAAATGGCTTGGGAGAAACCAGGGTAGTTTTAGTGGAGGACATAGAATGGAGTAGTCACCGTGGGCAAATTCAGCTTTTAGCCTTAAGAATTTTTTTGTTTTAACCTGAGTTTACATTTCTTACATTTTGTCACCATTAGATTGGTAAACTTTACAGGTCCAGATCAGGGTGCAAGTTTTGGGAGAGGAACAGGAGCTGATCTGGCCTGCTTTTTAGTCTAGATGCTAGATGTTAGGCTAGATGATGGGAATATTTCAAACAAGAACACTGGAGTCGTAGACCACATAGGAGTTTGGGACCAAAGCTGCAGCTAGTCATTGGTAAGTTTGGCCTGCTTTTGTCTGTCTGGTATATTGGACTTACTGGGAGTGGAAGTGGTCATAGTAGGTGAATGACTAAAGATTTGATGATTTGGGATTCTGGTTATCTCTCAGAAGAGAGGAAGGAAGTAACACATTCTAAGAAACATAGCTAACATATTCTTAAGAAAGTCAAAGAAGGGATTTCCCTGGCAGTCCAGTGGTTAAGACTTCGCCTTCCAATGCAGGGGCTGTGGGTTCCTCCCTGGTTGGGGAGCTAAGATCCCACATGCCTTGGGGCCAAAAAACCAAAACATAAAATAGAGGCAATATTGTAACAAATTCAATAAAGGCTTTAAAAATGGTCCACATCAAAAAAATCTTTAAAAAAAAAAAAAAAGAAAGAAAAAAGGAAAGTCAAAGAAGCCTCAAGAACTTGTTACTTGACCAAGGTTACAAAGTAACATTTAAAAAATTAGCTGGGTGGGAATTCCCTGGTGGTCCAGTGGTTAGTGCTAAGCACTTCCACTGCAGGGGGGCACAGGTTCAATCTCTGCTACCGGGACCAAGGATCCCACAAGCCTCGCAGCATGGCCAAAAAAAAAAAAAAAAAATTAGCTGGGTGAATAAACTTAGGATAATTAACTTAAACTTTGTATTCTTCATGTTCATATTCTTAGAAGGTTTAGTAATATTGAAACTGGTAGCTTACTGCCCCCAAGTAGGGTTAGATACGTCTCATTTCATGTTATATAATGTTTATTAATGTTTGGTATAAAGTATAAAAGGCTCTCACTCTCCCTTTTCCGTTGGCAAGTGTGACATGGAATTCTATTTGTAATTCAGAGTTGGAAGAATTTTGAGAGCCCATTTACCACAAAAGGAAAATTTCACGAAGTTACCATATCTGTGTAACCAGTACATTAGAAGCCCCACCAGTACATTAGAAGCCCCCTTTCTTTTTTTTCTTTTTTTTTTTCTGTGCTCCTTTCTCATCCCAACACTACCCCAGTTGCCTTCTCCTCACCCCAGACATAATCCTGACTTTTTACTGAAGGGACTGGTTGTGTTCTGAATTTCAGAAAATAGGATCATGTGTGTATGGGAGCTATTTTGTCTGTTGTTTTGGCTTTACATTATGTTTACAAGATTCCTCTATGTTCTTGTATATAGTTGTACTTCATTTTACTCTCTTTGCTATCTAATACTTAATTCTATGAATATTCCACAGTTTATCCTTCTGCTGTTGATGGACATCTGCATAATTTTTTCCACGTCTTCATTTTCATTTCATTCTATATATGTTCAGTGTTTATTTTCTCTCCTGTTTTAAAACTAACTTCAAAATAATACTACCTCATAGCATTGTGATGAAGACTAAATAATGATTTGGAAAACACTTGGTATAGAGTAGGCATATGACAAATATTTGTTCCTTTCCCTTTACGCAAGACAGTCCTTCAAACATTTGAAGCCTACTTGGATGGTTCACCTAAAATCTTCCCTAAGTTTTCAACTGTTTGGGCTAACTTTCAGAAATCCTCATCATCCTGATTATTTTTTCCTAGGTTTATTTCGGTGTATCAGTGTGTCTCCTACACTTGAAATGAATACTAGAATCCAAACATTGTTGACTCAATGTATACTATAGCTCTCTCTTTTTTTAAATCTTCTTACTGTCCTTCTACCAGCATTGCCCAAGATTGGATATACTTTTTAGCAGTCATGTCAACTCAATTTCTCTTTTACGTAGATTATAGTTAACAAAAATCAGAATTCCTTTTTTATAAGTATTGGTCTTCTGTCAGGCTTTCCCCATCTTCCTACATAACTAAATTATTTAAACCTAAGTGTAGGAATTTCAACTTGTCATAGGTTTCTGAATGTTTATGTTTGATATATAATCTACTGGCTTTTTCATGTGTAAATTAGATGCTGAACCTTCTAGGTCCTTATCTAAATCACTGATAATGTGTAAAGCAGGAAGAGAGAACTCTACTAGCAGACTTTTCCCTCTAGTTTTAGTTAATCCATTGATCAGCACTCTTGGCTGTGGTTGCTCTGTTTAATAGAGTATTTTGTTTCTAGTCTGTCCTTAATATTTGTATGTTTGTTAAACAAATATTTATTATTAATAATAGCTACCATTTATTGAGTGCCAATAAATGGTATTCTAAGTATTCTAAGAACTACACACTTATTTCATTTAAGCCTCCTGACAACACGGCAAGAAGGCATTGTTGCCATTTCCATTTTACACATGAGAAAATGGACTTAGAGAGCTTGATACTTCCCAAACTACATAGTATATAGAGATAGACCTGGGATTTTCATTTGGGTCTGTCTGCTACTTCAAGCCCATATACTTAACCAATAATGTATATTGCTGGCTATGTACCAGGCTTTGAGAATAATGTAGTGAATAAGTTAAAAAATAGATATGGTCCTTGTCTCCCCAGAGCTTATCATGTAGGGTGAGACAGAAAAACAAGCTCTTATTGTACATTATGATACATGCTATCAAGGGGTTGGGGGTGTGCTGTGATAGCACAGAAGCAAACCGAACTAAATTGGGGGAGTGGTGGTTAAGGGATTTCCGAAGCCAGCCAGGGTTGTGGTAGGAAATGTGTTAATTATCATGAGTTTAATTCTCTCATAACAGTATTGATTTTCCATTTGATCATTCACTGTCATTTTCCATTTGATCATTCACTGTGATGGCTGAAAAATACTCTATTGAACACATCCTATGTGCTAGACTTTTTACATATATCTTATTTTCACATTAACCTTGCAAAGTTTATTAGCTACATTTGTACAAAGTGAGACTAAGGGGTTAAGTAATTTGCCCCAAATCTTATAGTTTTGAAATGAGCCAGGACTTAAAAACAAGTTTTATCAGATTTAAAAATTTCTTTCCACTAGGCCACACAACATCCAGTCTAAGCAAAATAAAGTTCTAAGGCCGTCTGCCCTTAGCAATGGGTGTATCCCTTCCGTGTTCTTAATTCAAATAGGTATTTTTAAAGAAGATAAAATTTTTAGTATTCTTAGCAGGATAGCCTTTTCCTCTCCTATAGCTTCCGTCAGCTTTCCCCCCTAGCCTTTATTGTACTATACTTTCAAGTAGGTGCTTACTTTGGTGGTTATTCTTATTTTCAGGTGTTGTAAGCCTATTAGAAAGTTCCCAATGTGGCTGCACAGTAGTATTGAAACAGATATGAGCCTCAACCACAAGCTTTAGCTTTCTTGCTTTTAAAAGAACATAGCTAAAAAGGTCTTGAACTTTGGAAAGGTGTCAGTCACTGACAGGCAGTTTTGTGATTTCGTCTGTGCTGTTAATCCATTATGAGCACTTAATTGTTCAAAGAAATAGTAGTTATTTAGTAGAGGGATTTTTTTTTGTTTAAAATATTAATTATGTTATTAAAATAGTTAGCCATTTTAATAATAACTGGTTTTAGGGAACTCCCTGGCAATCCATTGTTTAGGACTTGGCGCTTTCATTGCCGTGGCCTGGGTTCAATCCCTGGCTGGGGAACTAAGATCCCGCAAGCCGTGTGGCATGGCCAAAAGATTAAAAAACAAAAAAATACTGGCTTTATTAAAGTTTAGTTAAGTTTAAAATGCTGTTAAATAATAAAGCAGTGTCAATAATTTTCCCCAAATATTCATGTGAGGCAACAAGGTGATTGTCTACTTTCCCTATCCTCAGTTTTTAAAAATAGATGTTAGTAATTATGGTGGATTTTTAAAAAAGAGACATTAAAACTCTAACAAACCAACTCATAGGGTTTTAGTTAATTGCAACAAAAGTCTCCTTTGATCTGTAGGAGGCTGTTTTACCTTTTTACAGTGGCAGAATCTTGTGCCTCCATTTGTTGGAGCTGCCTGCCACTAGGTGGTGCTTTGTGCATTCTTCATAGCATGAAACAACTTATTCCACTGGTGACTGTTGGATATATTGGTTGTAATATTTAGCAAATTAAAATTTTATTGATAAAGTATAATGTGGGAAATCAGAACTGATATGTGTCTTCTTGCTGAGATAGGCTGATAACTGTTCAAAGAAGGAAGAGTTTATTACTGAATTTGTTAGTACCAGCTGAGCTTTAGTAATGTCTGCTTCCCTCCCTCAACCTTAGGCTATGGTGTCAGATCATTGCTTAAAGCTGCACGTAATTAGGTGCTCAGATTATTTGAGGTCTTCATATACAGAACCTCTGGGCTTGTACCTCTCAGTTCTAAGCATCACATCTTTCATTGGGTGCTTACTTCAATACTTTATCTGAAATTGTCTTCTAGACTCTCTAAGGTCCTGAGAAAAAATGACCTTATTTACAAGGTTTCCTTTTTTACCCCTATAGGTCATAATAGAAGAAATGAAAATATTTGTTTAAAGTGTCCTTTCTTAGGGTATTTTTCCCCTTTTCTGTATGTTATTTCCATTGCCTTTAGCACTCTGTCCAGCCTACTTACCTTAATCTCTACTGTGTATATAATAAGGAATCTGCATTTTGCAGTTCCTACACTTTTGTTCTGGTGGCTTTATGGCATAATCTCAGTTTGGTTCCATTGTTTAAGGAGAGCTAAACTTATTTTCAGTAATTTAAAATCTGCATGATGTTCATATACTAAGTTGTCTCATGTTTTTAAAACAAATGTAGTTTCTTCCCCTGCAGTGGTGAAGTACTTCAAAAGCCATATATTTTAATGCTTTCTTTAACCAGTTAATATCATCGAGAAAACCAAAATATTCTTAGGATCCAAGAGGCTAGCCTAATATATTTTCATGAACCATAATTATTGATTGGGGACCATTTACACTTGGCTAAGACTCATAGGTTTATCCTTAGGATTCCCTAGTGAATCTTAGTCCCATTTATACCCTAAATCAGAAATAGTGCTTATCTCTTTGGAAAAGTTATTTTCTCTGACAGAGGCTGCAGCTTCAGGAGGGATGTGCATTGAGCCATTTGAGGGAGGTTGAGGCATTCACCTTGACAGTCATGATCAGCCCTCATATCCAAATGTCCTGAAACCTTACAGTTTCAGGACATTTAGAAGGACATTTAGAAGTCTGGTGGGTGGGGATTTGTATTATTTTTCCAGATGATTAAAATGGCAATTGTATATTTAGAATTGGCTTAATTTCATTATAAAAATGAATCAATATTAAAGACTGGCATTTACATTTTCAAATTAGGTAATAAAATAGACTTGGAGAAGGAGAGACATGTTTCCATTCAAGAAGCAGAATCGTAAGTGTTATCCCTTCTCTTCCTTCCTTCAGTCACTCTCTGTAAGAAGTCTTCCTCTTTGCACAATGTACTTTACCATTTAGTTATTACTCAAACCTCTTAATATAGATTGAGCTAGTGGATTCAGTGAAGCGAGTTTACACTGGCAATTTCTGGCTTTTGGTGACATTTAAAGTTATTTCACTTTCACTTCTCTTTCTGGTTTCAGTAAAAAGTATTAAGAGTGATGCAAAAGAAAACCATCATGGCCAAATAGTCAGTGAGTCACAAAAACTGAAGTATTTGGGTTGCAGATTAACTTAGAATAAAAGTCTTGTTTTATTCTTATTTAAAAGTTGATTCAATATATAGAAACGTCAAATGGTATATAATCTTAATTTCACTAAACCTGGGTTAATTAGTAATAAGTCACTAAAATTGCTATTGTAAAAAAAGTTCAAATGGCAGTCATGACAAAAACATGAAACATATTTTTACTTCAATTACTGATGTTACTTTTTTTTAAGGTATGCAGAATCTGTGGGAGCGAAACATTATCATACTTCAGCCAAACAGAACAAAGGAATTGAGGAACTTTTTCTTGACCTTTGTAAAAGTAGGTATATGGCTCTTTTTAAAATATTGGTAATATTTCGGAGTGATTGTTTGTTTTTAATTTATTTATTTTATTTATTTATTTTTGGCTGCATTGGGTCTTCGTTGCTGCGCGCGGGCTTTCTCTAGTTGCGTCGGGTGGGGGCTACTCTTCATTGCAGTGCACGGGCTTCTCATTGCGGTGGCTTCTCTTGTTGTGGAGCACGGGTTCTAGGTGCGCGGGCTTCAGTAGTTGTGGCTTGCGGGCTCTAGAGCACAGGATCAGTAGTTGTGGCGCACAGGCTTAGTTGCTCCGTGGCATGTGGGATCTTCTGGGACCAGGGCTCGAACCCGTGTCCCCTGCATTGGCAGGCAGAGTCTTAACCACTGCGCCACCAGGGAAGCCCCTGGGGTGATGTTTTACAGTTTCCATTTTGACCATATTGATGATTTGTCGCATCGACCAGTATTATTATTTACTTAGTATCTTTAACTCATTTTTTGAAGCTTAAATACCTTCTTTAGCCCTATTTCAAGTAGTAATCAATGGCTATGAAATCTTATGTGTAGTATTTGCTAAATACATATTAAAATATATGCATTACTATTAAAAATAAAAATGGAAGGGGAATGGACAGAATAAAACAGATTTAAGAGATGTAACAACCTTTTGCAGTGGATGGACCTTATTTGAATCCTAATTTGACAAACTAGTGAAAAAGAACATTTGTGAAACAATTGGGACTATATGAACACTCACCGGATATTGATATTAAGAAATTATTGTAAATTTTTTTAGGCGTGGTTATTGTGTAGTGGTTATGCTTAAAAAAAGAATTATTTTTTAAAATGTTTTTATCTTTTAGAAATCATATTAAAATAATTTATGAATAAAATTATGTATCTGGGATTTGATTTAAAATAATGGTAGGGATGATTGCCAAGTATGGATGAAATTGTGTGATGGACATACAGATTTTCATTATGCTCTTCTTTCTACTTTTATATATGTTTGAGCTTTTCCATATTAAAAAAAGAGAAAGGAAAATGTTTATTATATACAATCTGAAAGTCATTTCTCATATCACCAATAGAATGTACACTATACTTAGGAAAACCCTAGTCTATAGAATAATGGATTGAAATGATTTTGTCAAATTATATTCCTTATAGTTATAGACCTCAGAATGATGGTTTTTTGCTCTAAAAAAATGTACATATATACAAACTTTGAAGTAAATTTCAGTTTTATGTAAGCCTGAAGATCATTCATAATTCTTCTAGAGTGTTAATTCTCTAAATGTGGTCCTGCAATCAGCAGCATTAGCATCACTTGAGAGTATGTTAGAAGTGCAAATTCTTGGGCCTTACCCCAAACCTACTGAATCAGAATCTCTGGAGGTGGTGCCCAGAATCTGTGTTTTAATCCCTCATTATGATTCTGATGCATACTAAAATTTGAGAACCACTGCTGTACATATCAGTCACTAGGAGATCTTGTTAAAATGCATAATTTGATAAAATGGGTCTGATGTGGGCCTGAGCTTCTCTTTACTAACAGACACCCAAGCGGTAATGACACTAGTACTCAGACCATACTTTGAGTACTGAGGTTCTAGATCAGTGGCTTGTAAATGTTATATATCATATCTTTATATAAAAGAATTGAATATTCTCTATACATTTATTTTAAAAATTATAGAACATGTATAAGTACTTATGATTTTCCATATTGTAAAATATACATTAAAAAAAAGAAATTTTGAAAGGTTAAGGAAAAATAAATTGAAGTTTTTCTAATTTTACCTCAGTGGATTATCCCGTATACCTCAATTTGGAAACCATTGTTCAAGAGCAATCTCTGGACCCAAGTTTAAGAAACCTTATTCTGTTTTAAGGACTCTCTTTTCTTTCCTCATCTTTTCAGATATGTATTTTGCAACTATTTACTCCTAGTCTGTGTCTTATATTCTCATTTTTCTTAACTGTCTCTCAAAGAGCTGAAGTTCTAAATTTTAATGAGGTCTGATTTATCAGGTTTTCTGTATGAGTCATGTTTTTTGTCTTACATGAGAAACCTTTGGTAACTCAAAGTCATAAAGATTTTCTTCTACAGAGATTTCCTCCTGTGTTTTCTTCTAGAAATTTGTTTTACATTTAAGACTGTAATTAATTTTTTGTTAATTTTCACATATGGTGGGAAGTATAGATTGAACTTTTATTTTTTACACGTAAATGTCCAGTTCCAGTACTATCTCTTGAAAAGATTGTGCTGGACCACACAATCACCAGTATCTCACTGTCATCATTCGAGTAACTTCTACTGTATCTTTAAATCAGATAGTGTGAGTCCTCCAGCTTTGTTCTTCCTCTTTCATCTTAAACACTTTTGTTCTTTCAAATGTTATTTGGTTAAAAGTTTACATGACTTACTGAAGAATAAATCTTGTACCCTAAATATTGCTTGTACTTGGAACAATTTGACCTTCTTTGACGTATTTCTAAGTATAATTGGAAAATCTTAAGGATGACACTTGTATACAGTCATCTGTTTAAATCAAAACCTTTTTTTCTTTGGTGATGTCACTGTGGCTGTTATACAACTGGACAAGTACGCTTGCTATTAATTTTATCTAGTTTCCTTGTTGGTTGAAAGTCAGAAATAGCTATCATGGTGGTAAACTGAAATTATAGAAACAGAAAACGCCAATTGTGGTCCTAAATAATTTCTGCTTTCTCCCTCTCTTAGGGATGATAGAAACGGCACAAGTGGATGAAAGGGCAAAAGGCAATGGCTCCAGTCAACCAGGAGCTGCAAGGCGAGGTGTACAAATTATTGATGATGAACCTCAAGCCCAGAGCGGTGGCGGAGGGTGCTGTTCTTCTGGATAACTGTTCACCCCTAAGGAATAAAATAACAAACTGTGGATCCTTGCCCTCAACACAAAGACTGCCATATTCCAAGTCACATTATTTTACCAATGGAATTAGAGAGTTAACAGTATTTTAAATTACGTTTATAACACTGCAGAGACCTTAAGTGCTAAACTTAGTGGGGTTCGTGACCAGAGAATTGGCATTTTCTACACATGTTAACAAAGCAGTTACCAATGGCCTTTTTACATATTTTTTTTCTTTAACAAGGAGTAATATGCATGTAGAAAAGACCTACTTAAAGGCTTCATTTATATTCTTTTAAATCAAATCTTTATTTAATAACTTATATATGTTGTTGGAATGGTATACATTTTTGCAGTCCTTTGTATTTTGTGGTAGTTTGAATTGTATCACTTCTAAACAGCAAACTGTTTTTCTTTTTTTTAAAATTAGCAGATACCTGAAGTACTATTTTTGCAGGGTTTGCACAGGCCCCTAACTGTCTACTACACTTTGATATAATCTATATTCATCCTGTATGCTGAGCTGATAAAATACATTGTAAATTACATATTAAATATTTTATCTGCTTTTACAAGCACAAGGTGCAAAAATATATACAGTAGTCTCATTGATGACTGTAAAGTGAATTAACATTTGGTGATAATGTCTAAGCTTTTTGACTCTGATCATAGCTCCCCTTCACTTTTGTCTTAACTTGAAAGTGGCGTGTTTAAATTTTCTCATATACTTTACTTGAATTATTGCTGTTGTCACATTTTTTGCCTCTGTAAATCCATCTAATGATTGAGCGACAGCATTTGCCTTTTGGTTTGGGTGGGGGTTTTTTTGTTCTTTTGTGGGGGGTTTTTTTGTTTGTTTTTTGTTTTCTGGGTTTTTTGTTTGGATAAAAGAGATGACTTCTGCTCATTTTGCTTTAGAATGGTTACCTTAGAAGTATTTGAGTGGAGCATGCTGAGTTTCACTGCTGCAAGGCTTTAGTTTTCTCTTAGGCTTTATGTGAGATGGACTCATTGGTAGGAGAAGAGAGGAAGAAGTCCCAGATAGTAGCCACTCACCAAGACTCATTCATACAGCATGTTAGTGGTAGCTTCTCCTCCACAGGCAGCACTTTTAGATCCTTTGTGAGCAAGCTGTTTCTGGTCACTGCTTGCCAGAGATGAACACAGAAAGCTTTGTTTCATTTTATAAGAGCTATCCTTCTGAGTTTCTTTGAAGGGAAACATTTCATGTAATGAAGTTATAGCGAACACTGGAAAGATTTATTATAAAATTATATTCTTGTATACTTTGTAAATTAGTCTCTCATTAAGTTTTTTTTTTTTTTTTTCCTTTCTTTAAGCATAGGACTGATAGAATAGAATCAGGCACTGCTCATAGAAGGAACACAAATTGTGGAAATTAACAAATTGTTCTTGTGCTAATATATATATTTTTCCATTTCTGTCATGCTTGGAAAACTAGTAAATGTTATGTCTAAGATAAAATGGAATGGTCCCTGGATTTACTTCTTATAAGATGCAGTAGTATACAATAAAGTTGTTAGCATGAGCAATTAAAAGAATATAATGAGGTTATAGTTACTAAAGAAGTAACTTTCCCAGATGGGTTAAAGTTGAATAAATTGACACCTTGATGTTATGATATTAGAATTTTAACTTAGTATTAAGTATTCTATAAGGCCTCATTTTACCTTCCTTAATTATTGTCCTTGTCAAACTCAACACACTGCTTCTCCACTGTGTGTGTTTAGGGAGGGCGGAGTGGAAAGAGTCTTCAGGAAGATAAGCTAAAATTGTCTGTGTAGTCTCTTGGTTTCCTGTGAAGTTACTGTTTATGCAGGAGGTGGAGGGAGGCAGGGGAAATCATGAGTACAGATAAAAGAAAAAATTGTTTTTGCCCTCCTGGTTCTTTCAGTGGTAGTAAAGAAAGCCTTGTCATTTCTACTGTTGTAGATGTAGATGGGAAAGAAGCTCTTCTCCATTGGAGTGAAGTATGTTTTTAAAACTAATTAGACATGAAATTGAGCTTTATTCCAAAAAATAAAATCATAAAGCCTGATAATTGGAGAGTTGTACTCTCGATTTTTGACCCTATATTAATGATATAAAAGTCCAGATAGAAACCTCTGCTCCAGAGTTGCCAGATAATTATTGATATGGTACAACCACTCTCGATGTTTTGTTTTATTTATTTATTTTTTCTTTACTATTCTTTGGTTTCTGTGTACCTTTCTTTTTCTTTGCGGTATGCAGGCCTCTCACTGTTGTGGTCTCTCCCATTGCGAAGCACAGGCTCCGGACGTGCAGGCTCAGCGGCCATGGCTCACGGGCCCAGCCGCTCCGCAGCATGTGGGATCTCATGGACCGGGGCACGAACCCGCGTCCCCTGCATCGGCAGGTGGACTCTCGACCACTGCACCACCAGGGAAGCCCTCTATGTACCCTTCTTCACCTCAAGCATTTCATTCTTCTTTTTTAACCTGTAATTTAAACTAATTCAGTAGCAACAATAGATAATATGTATACCTGACATTGCTCTGAAGCCTAGAAGGTCTTTAGATAGGAATAGGGTGAAAGGGTAATGAAAGAGGACCAATCAATTGCAGCATGTATACAAAGGAAAGATAAATGATAAACCAAGGCTGAGGAAGTTTTTCTGATACTTTCTTCACCTTTCTAATACCTATCTTTTGTGTTCCTGTCCTTATAATTGTGCTATTAGGAAGAAGACACAAGTTATCGTGTTGTGTATTAAAAGTAGTAGGTAGATAGAACCAATATATTTTTCAACTGGTAAGTGTATACTCTTCGTATATATAATTAAAAATTGGTTTAAGTAGTCATTAGGAAGGTATCTGAATATTTAAAGTATACAATCACTGTTTCTGTAATGATGCGTATTCTGCTTCTTGTTTTACATTGTGATTATAGAGGAAGATTATTGTTTTTAAATATATTGCAACAATTTTGGGGTAAACAGTAATCTGAAAAGAAACAAGCATCACGTTACCATATGAAATATGAGTGTTTGAATTTCTTTTCTTCTGGGGTTATCTCCTGAAAATAGCCTAAAGCTGTGGCTGTTACAGCTAAATTGAAATCTTATAAAAAATATTAGCCATATATTATTAGTGATTACTTTTTATTTGGCATTAAAATAACAGAAGAATGATATTTCATTTTTAGATTTTCAGTAAGAAAAAGTAAAATTTGAGAAATAGACAAGGAGGGTAGTAAGAAGTAGAATGAAAGGTAGATAGGAAATTCTACAACCTGACAATTTTTAAAATCATTTTAAATACTACATTACTTTTATCAGATGGTTTCTAAATAAGGCAAGTTATGCATTGTGCCAAATATTTAGAACATTAAAAAAATGAATTGTTATACTGTTTATTTCTTTTAATACATAATTTGCAATTTTCTATATTATAAATGCTACCAGGGGTCTAGATCATTGATCTTATATTATTTTCAGATAATATAACTTACATTTATAATTACCACTTATGTCTAGAAGGGTTTGACTTGTGCCTTTGACTTTTGAAATTTATCTTTTGACTTCTGTTTGCCATTATAGTTTTCAGTCTTTTTAGTGTGACAAAGAGGGAATACATAATTTGTGACCATTTAAAATGTTGAGATCTTCTAGAAAAGGGTTTAGATAGTAATGACCAGCAAGAGCCTTACAGTAATTTCTAAAGATATAGAGACTAAGTAGATCCTTAAGTATTCTTTTCTAAATTATAAAATGCATTACCTAGATTTTAATAATTAAAAGCTGGGATTCATTGAACATAACACATTTATTTGATTTTATAGTAGGCATTGATTCTAGTAAGTTGCTGTTCTGTAGTTTTTTATCAACCAAACAGAGGAATATATTTGGTGTTGTGGACTAAAATTCATGCTACACCTACGTCTGACTTGGATGGCTTTTCCCTTTTCAAAAAAACTAATTACAATTCTGAGCAAACTTTCCTAAATGTAAGTATTTTAGTATTAATCATATGTAATGAGAAAAATTTAGAAATACTCTTAAGAGTTTCCAATTTTAAGCAAAAGTACTTTGCTTCTAAACAAATATCACTTTGATAGATCTTTAGCACTGCTTGGGCTATCTGGGATTTATATATCATCTGTTTTCTAAGGAAGCTGAGTGTGCTTTTGAGTGTTAACCTTTCTGCAGTAGATAATGAACATGGCATGTTACATGGCCCACCCAGAAAGAATCTTATCTTAAAGCATCTTGTCCTCTCCAGAATACTGCACATATTTCCAAGTACATTGCATTAAAGCCAAAGGATGAGCCTGCCTACTTAAATGACCTTTATTCCCACTGAATCATTCTCACTTTGATTTTGATACTTCCTGGCAACTGAATCATTTATCATCAGATACTCAAGAAAAAGCTAATATGATTTCCTTAAATTTGAACGTATGTAGAGCAATGAGAGAAAGGTGAGGGACAGCAGGGATAAAGTATGATGTTGTTGAAAAACAGAACAGTGGTATTTGCTAAACTGTATCTTCAGTGGTAGCAAGCTCTTTTAAGGAAACCATCTTATGTAGTACTTCCTAGAAGTATAAAATTTCCTCAGTTTGTGTTTAATTACCTAAGTAAGACTATATTCTAGGAAAAAATAAAAAATACAGATTATTATAGAAGTGCCCCTAGTGTACCCCCTCCCAAATGGTAACTATTGCTCTATAGTGTATACTCTTCAATCACTTTTTCTTTATGCATTTATATACATATATATTTACCTATAGAAATACATAATTTTGTGCATTTAAAATTTTTACATAAATTGTGTCTTACTATGCATATGTTTTGCAACTTGCTTTTTTTCTTACCAATATGTCTAGGAGCTCTTATGTGAATATATACACTTTCATTTCTCCCAAATCTCTTTGGGTGTATTTTGTCTTTTTATATAACTTCTGACTCTCCATAAAACCTTCCCCAGGAACTTCCCTGGCTGTCCATTGGTTAGGAGTCCATGCTCCCAAGGCACGGGGCATGGGTTCGATCCTTGGTGAGGGAACTGGGGTCCCACATGCCACGTGGCCTAAAAGAAAAAAAAAAACTTCCCCAAAGGAATCTGGTCAATTAGGTGGAGTTCACTGGAATCATAGAATTTAAATGCCAGCCAGTGCTTACCTTAGACAGAGCCAGGGTCTCTTAAGCATGTGAGTCAGGAAATTAGAAAGGCATCTGCCTACAATTCATTTGAAGTATTTTACTTTTGGCCCCCTGTTGACTGACTAATATATAAAATTCAGGAATTTAGCAGATTTTTCTTTATTCAGAATAGGTTTTTACTTGAGGGAAGAAGGAAAAAGAGGGAAGGTATAGTTGATAGGAAAAGAGGACAGGGCAAACTAAAACGAGTCTTTATACAACTTTGAGCAGTTACGTAACACAAGACTTCATGCTACCAAAAATTAAGACTTGTTTGATCTGTGCCTTTAATATATAATAAAAAATGAAAGTCCCTCTTCAGATGTCTCCCCACCATCTCACATCCCTCTTTAGAGGGATTGTTAACAATTTGGTATGTGTCTGTATCTCATATATAAATGTTTTAATTTATATTTGGCCTTTATAAAATTTCAATTCCCTGAAAGCAATTTCTACCCTATGTCAAATTCTGTCCTCAATCAACTGACCAACTTTCCAAGAACAAACCTGAATCATACCTTTTTTTTTTTAAATTAGTTTTATTTATTTATTTATTTTTGGCTGTGTTGGGTCTTCGTTGCTGCACGCGGGCTTTCTCTAGTTGCGGCGAGCGGGGGCTACTCTTCATTGAGGTGTGCAGGCTTCTCATTGCAGTGGCTTCTTGTTGCAGTGGCTTCTCGTTGTGGAGCATGGGCTGTAGGTGCATGGGCTTCAGTAGTTGTGGCACACGGGTTCAGTAGTTGTGGCTCTCGGGCTCTAGAGCGCAGGCTCAGTAGTTAATAGCACACGGGCTTAGTTGCTCCATGGCATGTGGGATCTTCCCGGACCAGGGCCCGAACTCGTGTCCCCTGCATTGGCAGGCAGATTCTTAACCACTGTGCCACCAGGGAAGCCCAGAATCATACCTTTTTAAAGAAAGTTAAATCAGTGGTAACATTTCTTGAACTAGAAGTTAACTACCTGACTCTTAAGATGTTTTATGTTTATCGTAAATTAAGCTTAAGGAGTAACTGTAGCATTCTGGGGAAGTCAAATCAAATTTTCAGTTTCTGCCCCCTGTGGAAATGGTGCTGGTAAAAAGGGGTGAGGAAGTCCAAAGTCCTTGATACCCATGTAATTCTGGGTTGGCTCATTCTCTTGGTATATTTTCCTGCTTGGGGAGCATTGCAGTGTCCTCAGCAATTACTTTATGAGTACTTCTCTGCGCTGTCAAGGCTATAGCTTAGCATGTGAGTGCTGTGACACAAAGTTAAATGTATGTGCTCCAGAACAACAAATTTATTCATATTTAACTTTTAGTGAAAATAATTCAGAAAGCAAGTTAAGCACAAGTTTACATGATTTTGTTAATTGTTTCCATATGGTATTTAAAAAAATTTAAAAGATGTTCTGCTCATCATGACTGTTCTATCAATTTCATTCATTAATTGAGTGCCCAGAACATACACAGGGGAACCAGACCTCCTTTACAGTGAGAGCTTGGAGATGGGGAACTGATTACCATTGCCCATAGTCTAGGATGTAGATAGTTTATCTGTGGATATGAGGTCAGCCAAACACACATGTTCACATTCTGTATTTGATCACATAGATATATACCAGTCAAACTTGTCAGGTGCAGTAATTAGAATGACAGTAGTTGAAGTTGATAGTGAATTTGACGTAAAGCTGACCAGACTGATTTTGAGTATTGCAAAATAATACATTTTCAAGCCAAATTAAAATAAAATAACTTGTTTTCTAGCCTCAAGTGGCAATTAAATAATCCTCAAGTCCAAAATGCTTTTCCAGATTTTGTTGTAGCACTGAAGAAACAGATGCCTTTTGCTTGTTTACATGGCTGCTTTTTTTTTAATCTAGAAAAAAAATGCATTTAAAAAAG